GAAATTGCTCAAACTGATTAAAACGTTCAGATCCGGACAGATATAATAATTTAAATGAAACATATAAAATTTTTGTCATCTTGAACAGTAATAAAAAACTTTTAATACTTTCTCAAAAAATAACAACACTCAATTAATTTAACATGATTGCTTTCTTTAATTAATAAAGAATTGTTTATCCTTTTTAAAAGGAATTTACATTGTTTATCCTTAAACAATTCATCACTGGTATCAATTCACAGGATTCAAAGGCAGTTTTTACAAAAAAGTTTGGTAGTTGATCATCATACATTATTCAAAAACGTTATAACATTTCATTAAAATTGAATTGAAAATTCAGATTATTTAGCTTTTTAATGGTTAATGGAATTAATCAAAAAATAAAATCTGAAAAATCTGAGCGTTTTACCACGCCCAGGATTTTGTCAAAAGGGGTGGGGAGTGGGGTGTGGATGGCAAAGTTAAAAAAAAAAAAAAAAAAAAAAGAGCCCTGGGAACCGTACTGAGAGACCCTATGTACCAGGACGAACCCCCAGCGGTACTCTTTTTCTTAATTATTTTTAAAATGCATTTTAGCCTTTACCTTCTATTTCTCTTCGCCCTAGTCCCACACCTGGCCATTTAGACCTACTTTGCCACTATTTTAAAACTACTAATTGTGCCAACCGTGTTTTCCACTGTCAACTGCCCCATCGACGAGGATACATTGATTACATCCCTATACGTCCCCGCACCGATACTGCCCCGCACCGGTACATCCCCGCACCAATACTTCCCCTCACCGATGCTCCCCCGTACCAATACTTCCCCGCAGTATCGATGCGGGAAGTGGGGAAGTATCGGAGTGGGGGAGTAGCGGCAATTTTACATCGGCAATTTTACTGGGGATGTATCGATGCGGGGATCTATCGGTGTGGGGTCGTATCGATTTGCATAATACACAGAAATTTACTAAGGGGGATTATTGGTGCGGGGAAGTATCGGTGCGGGGGAGTATCGACATGACCCCCACTGATTACTGTACTTCAGCCGCCATGCATTGTTAAATTTACTTGTAGCATGATATTCAAAACTTCAACACACGTGAAAAAAAATAATAAATAACAATTAAATACCCTTGGTCTTTAAATTATGTGATTTGCTTTTAAATCGTTTGACTCGTAAAGCCTAATATTTAAGAAAAAGCGTTGGTTTATATATCTGTGTGTGATTTTGACGTGATTCTTGCTCATGCATGTCATTTTGGTGACGAACAATTTTTAGTATCTGAATTCTTGGGGTTTCGAATACTTAATTCATAAATGACAGGTCGGATATTCACTGTAAACACAAGTCGCCAAAGTGTGTGTTATCAGGGAATTCAGGTGTTTAAATAGTTACACATCCGACACATCACTTTCACATTCCCTATATACCCCGCTGCCGATCGGCAGATCGAGTGTTTTTCTGGTTTAACCACGGTTAATTTCATGTCATTAAAAAAGTGGCTTGTGTGTAAACCATGTCTATCTTTTATTCTCGTCATTCTTGTCAATAACCACCCTGTATAATTCCCAAACAAAACTGATGTCTT